ACCTCTAAAATGTGTAAGAACAGGACAAATACGTGCATTTTTTTTGCAAACTGTTTTTTGTTGTTGTTGTTGTTGCAAAAATATTCTTTGCAGTTTGCAAACAATGAACACGTTTTCTGAAAGGGCAGCCAGTTAACTTACAATAAGGGGTAAGCTGGGAAAGTGGGGAGAAGGAAGTTGCAACCCTTCCCAAAAGGGACAACTGTCTGCCATGTCCCTACCCCCACTTGTCAGAAGATGCTTCTTGGTACTGCATAATGTATCTGTTGTTGGGAATGTTTCATGAGATTCCTAGTGAAATGAAATGTGGGTGATAGGGTACAGTCTATAAGCAAATAACTAAACTTTAAAGAATATGTTATTTGAGCAGGACGTGGCAGTCATAAATGGCAGACCACCAGAACAGACTTCTGTTCTTCAGAAATATTCCTTAAAAATACATTTGGAATAAAAGTGAAGGAGAGGGGAAGTAAGTTAAGGAGGAAGGGTGGGAAAGCTGAAAAGAAAGGAATAGTGTATTAAGGAAGCAGACTGGAACCATGGCTCATGTGTGAGTTATAGCAAAAGAGCTGAACAATATTTTTGCTTTTCATGCATTCATATTAACTGCAAGTGTTGTTACCATTAGAATCTATTTTCCAGCGGGACATAATTTCCTTTTCTAGGTATTGATTTTCAAGTATTCAGTGTAGGAAAAGAGAGGAGAAAGATTTAAAAAAAATTTTTTGTTCTAGGGTTTTTTTTAATCTTCAAAGATAAGCTCATTCAATGACTCCAAATGCAGACTTTTGCAGGGATGTTTAAGACCATCCCCATCTGGCTGATTAGATTTACTGGTGCCAGGTACATTCAGTGGTAAAGTAAATATTTCCCAAACACTGCCTTCATGGAAGTAATCAGATCACTTCCACTGCGCAATGTGTAAAGTTTTCACTCTGGCCAAGAGCTTGAAGCCAAATGGGGGTGTGCCAGATGAAAATAGAAGAAAGAGAACAACTGTGGTGACGGCTGTTACAGCAATGAACACTTCACCACATCTGGGCTAGTGAAATGAAGAAAACTGAAATCCCCTCCATCACTTACCAAGACGATTGCGTGTCTCTCAGAGAAAACTCTGTTGTTGTATTCCTTAAAGGATGTGCCACAGTCTTAGAGATCTGTCAGCCTCAATAATCATAGAGACCACTTCGCTAGTGTTGAAAATAAAAGATCAAGGTAACCAGCAGAAGTCCTTATTTTTCGAGTACTTATTTACTCCTTGGAAAATCTCTATCTTTAGGCTTCTCACACAATCCTAGTTTAAATGCATGTGTAATCCAAATACGAATTTCAATCCTTTTTGCCTGGCTCATGCTTGTTTTGTTTCAAATTGCTACAAAGGAAATTACCCCCAAAGCCATCAATGGACAGGTCAAACAACAGAGTTTGGGGTGTCTAAAAATCATCAGCCTGGGGGTGGGGGATGGTAAGTGGGGTGAGGCCTTCAGATGCCCCCATCAGGCATTCTGAAATTCAGCCATTCCGAGTGTGCTCCAGAGACGTGCTTCAGATAGAGAGCAGTCTAGTGACTCTTGCTCCTAAGAACAAAGGACAAATACAGTCAATACATTCCATAACGTTTACATTTCCTTTGCTCCCCCACTCTTGGTTTTCCCTGAGAAGGAGTGACCTGGGCAAAGCACCCTGCTCTCTAAAAGACACTGTATAGACCTTTTAGAAGCGTAAAGTCCAAGGCCGAGGTGAACTTCAGGTCAGCGCGTCTAACAAATATGAAAATGTCGGCTGGTGAAGGGCGAGCCTTGTGATTTAACAAAGACTGTCAATGTGTAAGATTAATAAGAAACAAAATGCACACGGTGTCACCATTCGGTCACTTTGAAACTTGGGACAGGGTTGCATTCAAGAGGGAAGGCTGTTCCAAATATATTCAAAATGATTCTAATCAGATTCAAACCAGGCTGCAAACGCTGCCTGCCTCTAACCCGCCCTCCCTTCGGTCTCCTTCTCCATCTGGGATTCGAGGACATGATGAAAAGTTATCTCACTTAATGGGATTTAAAGAAAGCTTTTGTTGGGAATATGTTATCCTTCCTCGTGGAAATGAGCAAATGTGCTTACTAGTTTCCCAAGAAAAGGATAACTCTTTCACCCTGCTTGGGACTGGAGCCAGTTGGTGTAAGAAGATTAGCACACACTCCCTCTGCTCTATTTCAGAGCACCCCATCTTTTCTCGGATGAGATGTTGCTGGTAAACTTCGATTTATTTATTCATTGAATTAGTTTCTTCCTGGCTTTACTTTGGTGTCTTGGATCTTATGGAAGGGCAAGAGTGTTTTGTTTGCTTTTGTTTTTCACAAAATATTCTTCAAAAGATTGATTCAATGGAATGATGCTATGGCTTGCAAAGAGAGACTGTGGAAGGATCAGAAAAGGTACTGAGATTGTTTATTACAGCCATAAATCTTGCAGTAAAATGTCAAAATGTCGGTGTGTGAGATAACACTTGGTGGTCCTGGCTCCACTTGTGTTTATGATACGAACCACAAAGACAAGTTACAGGCCTTAGGGGATTCTGCCTAAGCCCATCTTCCTAAAGTAATAGGACCACATGAAACACAGGCACAGTTAACACGTTTAGGTTAACCATATACAAAACAGTGCCTATGTCTCCTTAATACTTTAAAATAGAAACTCAGTAGAAGGTTCTGAGGCCAAACAACATGAATTCTGAGTTTCAGTGCCTATAGATAATATTAAACAGACATGGTTAAGACCCTTGTACTCAAGGCTTGAGAACACAAGAAAGGACAAAATCTTTTGTTCCGTGTGTTTCTTCTATGGCATCTTAGAGTCTGTTTGGTAAATGTTATTATGCATTGCATATATTTTTCATTTATAACATGAGCATCTAATTTTTTCTTACTGTAGACAAATTATTAGTTTAGGCAGCTGTATCAAGGCTAGGTTTCCTTTCAACCTCTGAGTCTGGAGAGGATGTCTAAAGATTACACTTGGTGTTCATTTCTGTCTCACTCAGATCTCATAAAAAATTTTAGGATGCCTCGTTTCGTTGGACAGCACACTTCACAGACATACATCCAATGTGGAAATCCTCTTTGTACCACTTCAGGACAATTCCAGTTAGAAAGCTAACATGATCCCTTTTTTAACCTCTTTTCCTAAATTAGTTTAAAGATTAGTCCCATATAATAGGCTTTATGTGGCTAAGTATTAAATGACTATCCATCAAATGGATATATTCCAGCATTTAGTAACTCAAATGAGTAACCGATATAAATGAAGATAGAATTGACATTCCTTTTGAAGTGTCTCCAGGCTTACTTAGGCTATAACTTTCCTTGTCTGCGTTCCAAACTCCGTTGTGAGAAGGCTGTTTATACTGCTCTTTGAAAAATCAACTAAGGTGCACCAGTTGAAAAATCCTTGCGGTTGCATGCCAGTAGGAAAGTATTTTTAGAATGGTGATTACTATTTGTACTGCTTTAATGTAGGCTGAAAACTAGAGGACCTGGGTATGTCTCTTAGAAGATGAAAAGGAAAGCAAGCACACACTAGGAGTAAGACATCAGTATTTACTTCAAAGATCAACATTAGGTGGAATTAATAAGTAATTTATTTGTTAATAATGGCATAATTAGTTTACCCATCAAATTTCAATTACCAAATGGCAGGCAACAGTCTCTTCTCTTCCTTTTCCAGAGCTACTGATATCGTTAATATGCTAATGTTCAGCAATTCAAATATCATAGACTTTTTTTTTGTAAATAGGACTTTAGCTTCAGATATCGCCTGAGAAAGTGGGATCCAAAATACAAAACATAAAATTCTTAGCGGGAAAAGACCCGGCAGCGGCGATCAGACTGGGCACAGCGCCTATTAGCTTGTTTGTGTTTGGGGATTGTTCTGAAATAGGAAGTTGTCGGTTTCAGGGCTAGGGTTTTGTGGAGGCATTTGAGTCTGTCCATTTCCACTCTTGGGCCACCATCTTGTGCAAATCGCACCTAGCATAAGTGAGCATGTTTAGCTTTCACGTGGACACCTCCAAGAAATTAGATGCTTTGGGTAAGGGGCAAATTTTTCTTGAAAAGGAACATCCCGATAGATGTCCCTAAAAAGACTCTCTCTCTCTCTCTCTCAAGCGCCCATCCGGTGGGTGGTTATGACTTCGCTTCACGTCCTTTGGTCCAACTTCACTCCGCTGCTCCCCGAAAACCCGACCTCCTGCTCTCGCAGTGGACGCGGAGATGAGGGAACGGGATCACCAGCTGGTGAGAAAACCGGCCTGATCTCTTCCGTTTTATTCCAAGGCCAGGATGAAATATAAGGATACCACCCCGCCCCCCCCCCCCCCGGTCTGGAGGCCAGTGCCTCCCCCAGGAGAGTTTCGAACCCTGGAGGACGCCAGGCCCGGCGAGACAGGGCCCGGGGTCAGCGCCGGGTCGCGGACACTTCGGCGGCCCCTAGGCCTAGGCCAGGAGCAGGACACGCCAAGGTCCCGGCCCGAGCGCTCGATCGGACCGGAGCCTGGCAGATCCGAAATTCCCATCGTGATTCAAAGTTGGGGAGCGAGGGGGAAGTGTTTGATGGACCAAAGCTCCCTCTCCCTCCCTTCGCCGGGGGCTTGACCGCAGCATCCATCAAGCCACCCGCGCGCTTCCTGATCCGGGTCCGCGCGCGCGCGCGGGGCGCTCATTGGCCACGACACGTCACGTGGGGTCCGGGGCGGGGAGCGCGCGGGACCGCGACGGGGCGCGCGCGCACGCGCGGCAGACGGGGGAGGAGCGGCGCGAACTTTGGTGGCGTTGGCGGCGGCGCGAGGGGGAGGGGTGGGCGCTTGACAGCGGGGGGAGGGGAAGGGAGCCCAGGAACGGGGGGGGCGGATGGGGGGATGGGGAGCGAGGCAGGAGGGGGAGGGGCCTCGGCGAGCCCAGAAAAACGACAACGCGAGAAAAATTAGTATTTTTGCACTTCACAAATTAATGACCATGAGCTCGTTTTTGATAAACTCCAACTACATCGAACCCAAGTTCCCTCCCTTCGAGGAGTACGCGCAGCACAGCGGCCCGGGCGGCGGAGACGGCGGCCCCGGCGGGGGCCCCGGCTACCAGCAGCCCCCAGCGCCCGCCGCCCAGCACCTGCCGCCGCCCCAGCTCCCCCACGCGGGGGGCAGCCGCGAGCCCCCCGCCTCCTACTACCCGCCGCGGGCCGCGCTCTACCCCGCGCCCCGGGCCGCCGAGGCCGCCTACCCCTACGCCTACCGCGGCGGCTCCAGCCCCGGGCGGCCGCCGCAGCCCGAGCAGCCCCCGGCGCACGCCAAGGGGCCCGCGCACGGCCTGCACGCGAGCCAGGTCCTGCCGCCGCCGCGCCCGGCGCCCCCCGCGCCCCCGCGGCGCTGCGAGGCGGCCCCCGCCACTCCGGGCGTCCCGGCAGGGGGCAGCGCCCCCGCGTGCCCGCTGCTCCTGGCCGACAAGAGCGCGGCGGGCCCGAAGGGCAAGGAGCCCGTGGTGTATCCCTGGATGAAGAAGATCCATGTCAGCGCCGGTACGTGGCGCCGCTGGGGAGGCGCGAGAGGGTGACCCGGGCCGGGCCCGGGTTCGAGGGTCGGGGCGGGGGTCAGGAGGGGAAGGCAGCCTCGGGAGGGAAGCCCCCATCTGGCCCTAGAGACCAGAGATGCGGGTGTGTACGCGCCAGCCAGCCGCTTCATCCCAACGTGAGAACCCTTTTGTACCCGGGGTCCCTTTATCGGGAGATTTACGAGACGCCAAACTGTTAGGGCAGTAATTATAGCCCCCATAAATTTAATTGCCCTGGCAGAGGCTTCAGGCCATGTGTCTTTGAAGCTTTTCTTCAGCCCCAATGCCCAGCACCGTTCTTTATGGCTCTCGGGTGTTTCCCGTTGTCAATAGCCTGTGAAACATTTTCTTTGCCGTTTTTATGTCTCTTGCGTGAACTTGGTGTCAGGTTATTATATAATGATGATGTCCAATTGCTCTTCCCTCCACCCCACCTTCTCTCTCCTCCTTTCCCTCTCTCTTGCACTCCCATCCTGCTGGACTTTCTCCTTCGGGGTTCTGGGCCAGTCAACCCCAGTTATAACGGAGGAGAGCCCAAGCGCTCTCGCACCGCCTACACGCGGCAGCAGGTATTGGAGCTGGAGAAGGAGTTCCACTTCAACCGCTACCTCACGCGGCGCCGCCGCATCGAGATCGCCCACGCGCTCTGCCTGTCCGAGCGCCAGGTCAAGATCTGGTTCCAGAACCGCCGCATGAAGTGGAAGAAAGATCACAAACTGCCCAACACTAAGATGCGCAGCTCCAACTCGTCCTCAGCCCCTGCCGGCCCACAGGGCAAAGCACAAACTCAGAGCCCCCACCCACACCCGGGGCCCCCCACACCCATCCCCTCCTCCATCTAATTGTGTAGAGGTCTAGATCAGTTTCTTATCCCTCCCCGCCCTCCCCTATGACTTTACTCCTCTCTTCTCTTGCCCCTTTCCCCTTCTACACCCACCCTAGTGGCTCCCTCAACAAAAAAGAGGACATGATCGCGGTAAGATTGTGTTCTGGTTGCCACCCAAGAGTGGACCTGAGCCAGGATGCCGGCTGGCGGAGCATCCTGCTGGCCTGCATAAGGTTTCCAGGTTGGGGTACCTGAGAAGGACCTCCTGGCCTCAAGCTCAAAGGGGCCAGTCCATCAGATAGCCTATGCAACTGGGGACATGTCATAAGTCTCATAAGTCGCAAGCAGAAGAAAACTGACCCTACCCCCATTCCTTACCCTCTTCCCCATAAGGCAGCTCATACAAGCTTGTATCGAACTGAAAAAATGAGTAGACATTGTGAACCTCACAAGATTATTTAATTCTCAAAATGTATAGACCTTGAATTGTAGATGTTCCACATTCATTTCCTTCCCTTACATTTATTTAAAATATTGTTGTAGAGTTACTGTTGTCTTATCCTGAGGCACAATCTCTGGAGAGAGGGTGTGCATTGAGATCCTTGTCAACTGTACGCATTGTGGTGTGGCTATAGAGAAAGCAGTGTGCTACGAATAAACTCTGTTTAAAAAAGCATTAAAGTTCTAAGACACATTTGTGTGCTTCCTACTTTTAATTAAAAACAACAACAATAACAACAATAAAAAAGTTCTCTGGGTTGAGATGCTTTATCTCCTGTTTTTAAAAAATAACCCTTGTAGATGGCTTGAGTTGTCTTCTTGAGTTGACTTGGGGTTCCGACTGCTCACATAATTTGTGTGTGTTCAACTTGAACTGAACTCTTGTCAAGTTTGACCTACTGTGGGAAAAGTTCCAAAGAGCAGGGAGACTCTTGAGCTGTGAGAGTGCCTCTTCTTCCCAAACTTGGCCAGGCTCTCAGGCTTCAAGTCTCTGTAAGGCAGAAAAACGTGTCCTTCTCTGCAGTGAAAGGTGAAACCATGCAGTGCTATGGGCACAGAAGTTCCTGCAGCTGTTCTGAATGCTGAACTCTGAGCATACTTGGAGAGAAGTGGTCCCTCTGGTATTTATTGCACCTTCATACTTAATTTGCCTGTTTCCCTGGGGATAAAAAATAGTTTGTGCAAAGGGCTGAGATTGCTTTTTGTTTCTTGGCCATTTGAAAGGCTCTCTTCACTAAACACAGCTTGGGAAGTCTTGTTAATTGACCTGTGTCCTCCTTTCCTATTGCCTTCCTTTCTTCTTTTCTTTACAGTAAAAGTTTTCAAAATAAACTGATTTCCCCCCCCCCACCCCCAGACTCTAAACTTTCTTCTGAGGGAAGACAAACTGCCATAACACCCAAAAATGCACCCCAAGCCAGGTAGAGCTTTGTTTCTAGGGGAGAGTCAAACTCTGAATGAGTGTCAGTTTCCTCAAATGCCCCCTGATCTTTCTACCTTGCCTAGAGATTTGGATTCAAAAGGTTGAAAGTCAAAATTCATTTCTCAATCTCTATCACCCTAGTATGTGTTTACTGGTTAACAAATCAGCAAAGAGCAGTTAGACTTAGGTGTCACTGAGGGAGAACTTGGCCACAGGAGGCAGAAAACAAACACCCAGTAGCCCGGGATATTAGCACTGTCTTGAATTAGGGCAGGTTTTTGGTTCCTGGAATAATTTTAGCAGCCATGGTGTGGGCACTCACTTCTGTCATTTCAGAAGTTTAGCCACATTTTCTCAGTTGGCGGCCAACCCTATAATGGTCATTGCAGTGTCTCCTTTTGCCTCTCTCATCCCTCTTGGGATGACACAGGTAGCAGTGGGAAATTGTTTCTCTACCTGTGAACAAACCAAATCTGAGAGGAAAGTGGTGAGCACTAGTCATTGAGGGATCTCCATCTCTCCCCAAGAAAATCCAGGGCAAGCAAACAGAGACCTTCCCCCAGTCAGGCCTAACTTGGCATAAAGTGCGTTTTATAAGGTGTGGACAGGTGCCAGGGATTTCTGGAGGCATTGCAACTGCTGCTGAGACTTATTAACCCTCCCCCTACTACACGCACTTGTAAAACGAAATTAAATCATGCTGAAAATAGCAATTTTCCCAGGAATCATTAATCACCTCATACAATAAATACTTCTTTGTAATTCAACAGCAATTCTGAAAGGCATTCTCTGGGAAAAGTCTGTGGAGAAGCAGGGATCTTCTTGCAAATAATGTGGTCTTGGGCAAAGATGCAGCTTCTTGGCTGTCTGCTCAAAAAATGCCTAGACTCTCGGTGGAAATGGAATGTCAAGCTGCAAAACCTCATATGGCAGATAATCATCACTTAAGGTAAATTCTTGTATTTCTCTTTTGCAGGGAAGGAGGGGGAGGGCACAGTTGCATCAGGGGTGAACGGGGTAACTTCTTTTTACTTACTCTTCTAGTCTAGGAAAGGATGAGAGAAGCTTGAGGCAGTTTTTCTATGATTTCGGGACAAAATGACTTTTTTTTTGGCTCAAACTGTCATAATTGTGAAGGCGTTGGTAAGTTTTATAAGACCAGAATGATCAAAAATGATCCAAAAGATTGTATCATCTTTTCAGTGTGTTTTGCCTGTTCCGGATTTGATCTTTAAGGGAGCTTGTTTTAACAGCTTAGAAAATCCCACTTTGTGCTTCAAAATCATGCATTGTCTGCCCTTTGCTAGGGCAACCATAAGAGTTCATCCAGAGGACAAATTTTCTATCTCATTAATTGTTTTTTTTAAGCGAACCCTACTGGCCCCTCAAACCCTTGACCTTTAAAGACAGTATTTTGTGTAAGCTCTATAATTCTCCTATCAAGTTGACCCTTACACATGCTCTCTTCTTCTTTCTCTCTTTCTTCCTTCTTCCTACTAATACTCAGCTGCTTTAGTCACAGAGCCAAGCTGTGCTGTGCCTCTGGAGATAAAAGTTTTGTCAACATCTGAAATCAAACTAAATCGAATAGGAGACACTTTAATGGTCACAGTTTGAATTAAGTACTTAACATTCTCCCCCCTGAAGAAAAATGGCACTTTGCAGGCTCTCTTTCCTAGTTTTGCTGAAATCTACGATATACCCGGTGTTTTATTACAGCAGAAATTCAACTGAGACAGGCATAGTGGAGTACTTAATACCCAAGATGGAGCTCCTGGGAAGATCACCTAGATGTATGGGGAGGGGCCCTCTGTGCAGAATCTCTGACTTTATACCCAGCGTCTCAGGGTACGGACACTTCCTTTCCGAAGCTAGGTGTCACCCTCTTTTTACTATCTGCTTGCTCCCCTAAGCTCTCAGGTCCTGTGGTTTTGCTCACTACTGCCTTTCCCCTAGCAGCTTCAACTTAGAAACAGAGGAATGATTCTCAAATGGAGGGAAAGACACCCCCCCCCCCCCCCGCAAGAATCAATGTAACAGCTGGAAACCTGGGGTTTCCCCATGGAATGGCTATGTTCTGTCCAGGCAATAGGCTGGGTTTTTTTTTTCTTTGCACTTGCTTGCTCTCTGCATAGTCGTATATTGAACCACCACGTACCCGCCTTAAGTCAACTGTGGGTTCCATTGCCTCATTCTGCCTCAGAGACTGGCATCAAGATAAGGACTTCCCCCTTTCTAAAGATTATGGCCTGGGAAAAATAGGCAGAGGATGGGAGGTGTGTTTGGTCTCCTTAATAGCATCAGGGTAGCTGCTAGGGCTGTTAGGAAACATTCTCATCTGGGCACTTTCGTTGTAGAATTCTGGCATTTTTGGTCCCAAGGCCCCACACTTTCAGTTCAGCCCCAGTCTGCCTGGGATTGATTCCCAGGACTAAAAGGGACTCCCAGTTGGAAACACTGCCCAAGGCCAAAGATCTGGAGACCATTTTAGTAATATTTATATTAAGGATGACTGACAAACGCCCCCCCCCTTCCCAAACAGACACACACACCTGGCTCTTTTTGTTAAGTTCTTGGACAGGATCCTTTGTGTTCTGCCTCTGGAGAGGCCTATTCTGCCTGGAATGGACCCATGCCTTGGACTTTCTCCTGATGTGGACAGCTACAGGTGTGCAGAGGCCTCAGAAGGCGGGGTTCTTGCCTGAGGTGCAGGTAAAGCCCGCCCTAGGAGTACAAACTAAACACACTGCAGCGAGGTACTGAGACAGTAGGGCTGACCTCTGGGTGCAGAAGAAGCTGGACGTTGAGGGGGTACCTGGGCGAGGGGTGGGCACCTCCATGTCCACAATTCTCATAGTTCCAGAATGACTCCTTCCATGCTGCTGGCTCTAGGTTGCGCTGGCAGCGACGTGCCTGGGACCACGCACAGACATCTGCATTGGGGAGCCCCGGGAGGTAGAAAAAAAGCCCAGCAAGGACCCTGGTTGCGGCAGATAAAGGTGTAGCGCCTGTTCGAGGGAGATATTGAAATTGTAATCTTTGGGGGGTCACGTGACTCATTAAATAATTAATGCGGTTCGTCAGGAATGGATCGGAGTGGTCGGGGCCTCACTAGGAATGACTCTCTCCGAAGTGAGACCCCAACTTCCTACTTGCTTTTGAGACCCACCCCAGCTCTCCGCAGGCGGCTCAGTGCTTCGGCGGGGAGGAGCGGAGCTGGCTGGCCCACCCCGGGCGCTGGGGCGGCTTCGGCGGCCGGCGCGGCGGGGAGCGGCCCGCGGCCGGGGAGACGTGAGTTGGGACGCGGGCTGACCGCGGTCACCTCCTGGCTTTGGTGATGGAGTGGGACGGAGGCGCAGACAGTGGGTAATGTTCTGCTGCACGCTGGGGGAGGCGGCCAAGAGACCGCAGGATGGGCGCGCGGCTTTGTTCAATTTTCCCGGTGTTCATAAATCACCCCGCGCCGGCGAGCGAGGGAGCGAGCGAGCGCCAAGCGCGCCGAAGCGGCGGGCGGGCAGGCGGGCGGCGAGGCGGCATGGCGCAGTGGCACGGGCAGCGGTTCTTTGTGACTCATTAGTCTGCACCATTTATGGGCAACAGCAGCCCTGGATATTTGACTTGGGGATAAGGAAATAGCAACAATAATAATAACCATAATAATTACAATACTCCTAAGCATTGGAGAGGAGGGTTGC